TCATATATATATATATATATATATATATATATTCTCAGATAATTGGCCATGTAAAAATGCATTTGATACATCTAGTTGGTGTATGAACCAATTGTGATGTAAAGCTATAACGAGTAATATGCGTACCGTGGGTTTATATATATATATATATATATATATATATTCTCAGATAATTGGCCATGTAAAAATGCATTTGATACATCTAGTTGGTGTATGAACCAATTGTGATGTAAAGCTATAACGAGTAATATGCGTACCGTGGGTTCCTTGCAACTGGACTAAACGTCTCTTTGTAATCCCATCCATGCTGTTGATGACAGCCTAATGCCACCAATCTTGCTTTGTGACGAGCTAGAGTACCTTCTGAGTTGTATTTGGACTTGAATGTCCATTTGCAGCCAATTGGATTTTGATCTATTGTTGGAGGTACTAATTTCCATGTACCTTGTGATTGAAGAGCTTGAAACTCTTGTGACATAGCTTCTCTCCAATGTGTATACTTGACAACTTGAGAATACGTGACCGGGTCATCATCACTGAGTTGATGTGTGAGATCAAAGATTTGTTTTGGTCGAATGTGACCTGTTTGAAGTCGAGTTTTCATAGGATGGTGCTGAACTTTTACTGGTAATACAGGTGTTGTTGGTGAATGAAAACTGGAACGGGAGTTTGATGAATTGTTGAATTGCTGCATATTAGGAAATGTAGTGGCTGGTGAAGGTGATGTGGGAGTTGTTGTTCTAGTTTGTATATGTTGGTAGCTTGACGTGGGAATGAGTAGAAGAGGAGGAATGTGACTGTCACTTGTTTGAGCTGTAGATTGTGTGATGTTTGATAAAATGTCTTGAAATGGAAAAAAATTTTCATTGAACAAAACGTGTCTAGATACATAGACCCGGTTTGTAGTGAAGTCCAAGCATCCATATCCTTTTTGTACTTGAGCATAGCCAATGAATACACATTTTTTAGATAATGGAGAGAGTTTTGATTTGGTGTATGGTCTCAACCACGGGTAGCATAGGCATTCAAAGATTTTTAAATGTGTATATGTGGGCTGTTTGTTATATAATTTTTCAAATGGAGTCTTGTTTTGCAATGTAGACGTGGGTAATCGGTTTATTAAATGAACTGATGTATGCAATGCTTCAACCCAGAGAGACTGAGGAGAGTTGGAATGAATTAATAAGGTCCTTAGTGTTTCAACAATGTGACGATTTTTCCTCTCAGCAACACCATTCTGAGAAGGGATATATGGACATGTAAATTGATGATTTATGCCATGTTTTATGCAGTAGAGTTTGAATGCATGATTTAGATACTCACCACCACCATCCGTTCTAATTATTTGAATCCTCCTGTTAAACTGACATTGAATGTTTTGATGAAAATTTATAAAGGTAATAGCAACATCAGCTTTTTGAATTAACGGAAAAACCCAACAGTATCTAGTGTAATCGTCTATGAATGACACATAGTATTTGTGACCTTGTACAGAGGTGGAAGGAGATGGCCCCCTTACATCGGAATGCACTAATTGAAACGGTTGTGTGGTAAGAGTAACAGATTTTTGAAATGGTAGTTGTCTGCTTTTGGCAAGACAGCAACTGTTACATGTTTTCGATATAGTAGTACAAATGTGAGGATGACTGTAAGCTAATAAGCGTAGGATAGATGTATTTGGATGCCCAAGGCAAGAATGCCAGAGATCTGGAACAGTTTCGGCTGAAATAAGAGCCAATTGAGGGGGGTAGCTTGCACTTTGTACAGACCGTTATGGCAGGGTCCGTTGAGTAGAAGACGTTGAGTCTTCGAATCCTTTATTTGATATCCATCGGTTGAAAATGATATGATGCAATTGTTATCAGTTGTAAGTTGATGCACAGATAGAAGATTCAAGGAAAGGTTCAGTACGTGATGAAGTTTGTGTAGGTAGAGATTACCTGTGGGTGTGGGTAGAATGCCACGTCCAGTATTGTGAATGGGAAGTTGTTGTCCATTTCCAACCATCACTTGAGAATTACCAGTATACTGTTTAATTGCACCTAGTTGCGATGCATCCGACGTAAGATGTGTCGATGCTCCACTGTCATTGAGAATTCGGACTGGATGAACTGATCAGGGCAGTGTTGTGTCCTGTATCATTGTAGGCTAGATCATTTCTGTACGAGCAGCGGACTGCTGAATGACCAGTTTTAGTACATATTTGACAAATTGTATTTCTATACAGGTTTCTTTCATCTCGATCTCCTCTTCCAGATCGACGACCTCTGTATCCTCTTGAATTATTGTTTCGTCCTCGACCACGAGGAGCAGCTAGAGCAGTTTCATTGTCTGCTAAGTTTAGAGATTGAAGATCTCTTGTTGTCTCATTTGTCTGAATCTGTTCTTCACTACACAATAGACTGTATAGATCATCTAGACTGATCGGTTGCAGATTTGTTCGTATCGCCGTTTTAAACGACTGATACGATGAGGGAAGTCCATTTAACGTATAAAGAATCACATCTTCAGCGTCGATCGCGTGTCCGGTTGCTGCTATTGCATCTACTCTTGATTTCACCTCAAGTAGATATTGAATCATTGTTTTGTTTCCTTTGGACAGATGATGCAACTCGTTTTTCAGTTGAATGATTCTTGATCGACAGGTTGCTTGAAGACGGTGAGCTAGAGTGGTCCATATCTCCTGATAGTGTTCAAGAGTGAGAACATATGGTAGGATGGATGGAGAAATTACCGAATATAAGGCAGCTGCGAGATTTTGATCAATAAGAGTCCAATCATTGTACGAGATTGAATCATCTGTGGTCGAAGATGCATCCAATACAGACGATTGAGGTGGACAGATACATGTTCCGTCAATGAATCCCCGAAATCCATTTGCTGTGAAGACTTTTTTAATCTGGCATTTCCAGATTGAGTAGTTATCGGGGGTTAGCGAATTTGGAACCAGATTCTTGATGTTGCTCATCAAGAATTTTAGTTGAGGTGGGATGGTTATGGTAGCAACTGAAGATTTAGAAGCTATCGTTTGAGATTGAATAGAAGATGCTGCCATCGTGTTCTGATAAGCCGATTAAGAATAAAAAAAAAATTCTTCGTCTCTGTTAGCTCCGTCTCTGATACCATGAAAGAAGCTGATATGCGGTTAAGCTTTCAGCAGGTTCAAGAAAGCGCTAATCTCAGAAGATGAGATAACAAGGAGTGAAAATGAGAAATCTTCTTATTATTTAATGTCTGCTTTATACTGGTATTTATAGTTTTTCTTTACAGGTTTGTAACAGAAATGTCGGCGGCTTTCGTTCCGCCTGAGCTGGTACATGCCCTGTTTTCTTGTCTGTTAACACATAGAGTATCAAATCATTGTTAATGTTTAACTATATCAAACTAAATGTTGAACTTATCGAACTTTTGTTTTTTAAATATGATTTCTAGTTTCTAGCAACAAAATGAGCCCTTAGCAAACTTGGGGATGAAGCTTCAATTCCATTCATACTTATGAGAATATTCATGAGCAAAACTTTCATGTTATACATAGCTATACGAAGATTTATTCTAAGAGATCTTAGGATGTAAGTGTCTCTCCCAGCCTCCCCCACATTCAAATAATTGCAATCAAACAGTTTTATCGCTGCATTATAGACATTTTGGAGATACTCATTTTGTTTGAATAGGAAGTGTTTGTGGAGGTGCAAGTATTCTTTTTATTTCCAGGAATTTTTTATGCTGGAGAAGAGGTTAAAAAAGAAACATCTTTTGATTGCATGGCTCAAGATAATCTGGGTGATTTTTCGATATTATCATCATAATGAGCATTATCCAAATTAGTTTTGGTCGGCTTTATGAATCCTAATTCTTTGTTTGTTAATGTTGAGCGTTACAGTAGATGTTAAATCTATGTTGTGTAATTATTTTTTTATAATTTCTATCAAAATTAGTTATGCATTTTCTATCTTTTTAATACATTTTCAAATCTTCTTTGCCAAATTTTCACCATCTCATCTTTAAGATATGTTATTCCTGCCATCACTCTAATTTTATTATTTCCATATTCTTCTTAACATTACCACAAGTTGGTTTTCCATGACTTTTGTACTACCCAATACTTAAATTCACATATAGTTTTATAAACTTGGAATTAAACAGATATAATAGGCTATGGTTATTTCTTTGTCTATATTAAGTTTGTTTGACTGGGACAAAAAGAGTGAGTTTTGGGGATTTTTGGATTTAGTTACTGCTTTTCAAACTTTGCTTTCTAGAAAGGAGGTAACTATATAGATAATTCTGAAGCTTTGACAAGATGCTTAGGAATGCATGTGTGAGTTATAGCCTCGCTGCGGCATTTTCTAGCTCAAATATGCTGGTATAATGCTGCGAAAGCAATCAAGAAGTAGGAATTTTTGGAGAAATTGGAACCTTATTAACAATAATATTTGTATGGATTTATTTCAAAAAGAAGGATTTAAATAAAATTTTCAATCGTCAATTTTTTTTGGCCTTTGCAAATCCTCTCTACTATATAGCTTCTTTAACTACAAGGAAGGCGGCATATAAATCTAGAGATTTTTCTCAGAAACTATAGTTATATATGCATATTCATTTTTTGGAGAAAGGTTCATCATATATGAGCTAAGAAAAGAGTCCTTGTATGAAGGTAGAAGAATTATTATGATTATGAACATTACATGGAATTAGCATATCTCCCTTAGGCTCTCAAATGTATGTCATTAATTTAAAAATAAATATAAATAAATAAATAAGAGAAGCTAGGATGCTTCAGCAGATAAAGAGAGAGGTTCAAAATTCTTATCTCGCAATTCACTTGGTCCTTTCATTTAGTCCAAATACAGGTCTAGCAAAAATAATAAGTACCATTGATTCAGTGTTCAACCTCTTGTGAACTTCTGTAGGGAACAAATTGAAAAATACTAGCATTTTCATAATTTGTACAATTAAATGAGTTGCATAGTTCGTAGCTTGATCAACAGAGTTTTTATTGCATACTTCTACAGTCTGTTGAAAAGGTAAATTTGTTTGTTAAATTTTACTATTTCTAGAAACATTGTAGTAAAAGATATCAATTATTCAGACTATCATATTTGTAATTAATTTTACTGGAAACATTTTCCTTAGACCAGACACAACTTCATTAATTTTATGCATTTTGATTTTTTTTTTTTTCAATCAATAAAATGTTTGGTTTTACATGCAGTGACTGATATTCATGGGAGGACTTTTGGTGTTTGGACGTTATTAACTTGTACACTGTGTTTACTCTGCGCTCTCAACCTTGAAAACAAGCCTCTTTACCTTGCAACATTTCTCTCATTCGTCTATGCTCTTGGTCATTTCCTAACTGAATATTGGATATACCATACAATGGCTCTACCCAACTTAACAACTGTAGGCATTTTTGCTGGTAAGATTGATGGACGGTACCTTTTCTTCTCATATTTTCCCTTCTATGATGGATTTTTCTTCTGCAGTTTGGCTAGAATGGTACATGTTTTGTTTCTGTTGATCTTGTGTAAAATACATGAATGAATTTACGGTTGTCTGGTTTGTTTTACATATCAGACCATTTATGACTTGTTACTTTTATCTTTTTTATTAAATGATAGAAATCCAACCTAAATATTTAATTAAGTGAAACTAGGGCATAAAGTCAATTATAGATTTTGCAGATCAAATTCCATTGAAAAAACTAATGAATAATTAGATAAAAGAATTATAGGGTAGACTCAAACTTGTGATCTTTACCTGAGAATCATGCAGCATACTTAGACTTAGCAATTTTAAGCATCCAAGTGTCAGAGAAGATTGTGAATACTAAATAAGGTTCAATGGTTTGCTTTCAAATACTCGTTTATGGGGTTGGCTTATGTAATCTTATTTTATACTATCATAGTATGTGACATGCTTATGGGGTACAAAACATAATTTTGAGTAGCATTCTTTGCACTCCCTTTAAAGAGATTTGAAGGAAGCTCGAAGGAGAGCCTCTTTAAGAAGAATGTGATGGAAGATGTCTTCGAGTCTAACGTTTTACTTACGAAAATCTAGGATATGTAAAAAACACACACAAAAGATCAAATTGGTATTCACCAATTCCTAATCAAGAACAATTTTAGCCTCTTTCGATGTAAATCGAAGAACACAAACTAGATGTAAATGATAATTCATAGATGGTTTAAAATATAAAATTCAGTAAGAAATTTAAGAATAAAATTAACCAACACAATGGTGAAGATTCACATTATAAAAAGGAGAACCAAATTGTAGTAGATTTGATCACATCTCTATTATGCATCAAAACTAATCACTGTGTTTGCAGATGAAAATTTTCAATGATAGAAGTCTCCCAATAGATGATCGATGATCAATGATCAGGCCTGACTCCAATATAAAGGAGAATTTTCTCTTAGAATTTATCACCAAGCCTTGCATCTTGCTCGAAAAAATTGCATCTGACTAGCACACATATTTCTTAGAGAAAAAATGAATTTTATTAATGAGTTGATTGATTCTCCATGCCTTAGAGGTTCTATTTATAGTCCCAAAATGACCCACATTTTATAGTTTCTCAGAATCGCCGACATGTTACCTAATACTAAAAGTTCTGAATTCAACAATTTTCAATTTCAACTAAAACATAAAATTTCCAATTTTAGATGTCTGTTTCTAGCAGATAGCCAAATGTCCAGGTTTAGCCAAAAAAACCAATTCTTGGTGATTCTAGCAAATAGCCAAATGTTTACTATTATGCTATCAATATCCAAAAATACAGAACGACTTATTCTAATTATTATTAATAAAAAAAATTCAAAACTTATACACATTGTCAACATTGTACAAATATTATGTGCATAGTGTGTAATGCATGTAAATGAAAGTACACACTGTGTATAGGATTATACATACTGTTTAAAAGCATCCACACACTATGTACAAGCTCAGGTACAGTGTGTAGAAGGAAACCAAGCAAGAGGCAACCAAACATGGTTAAAGAATGTGAATCACCATGTGGTAGAACAAGGCAACAAGGAAAACACGTGAAACGTAAGTAATAGTCTCCAAATCAATGACAAATCCATGTTAACAACTCGTGACGGAGGACACACCAAACCTAGCTATAGCAGGAAGGACCCACCAACGACTGGACAGAACTGACTTCAAGCTATAGTTCCCAAAATTGCATGCCTGGACAGAACACAGGAATCCTTGGCGTTGAAAATATAGCTTGGGCTAAAAAAGATAAAATGGAAGCCATCTCTATCAAGTGAATTTGACAATAGCTAAATCGAAATTGTTTGCATTAGTAAATCAAACCCACCTAGATTATCAAATATCATAGAACAAACATCATTCTGACATGCACCATTATCGCAGAAATGTTTACAATAAAAATAATTATGAAACAATAAATTAAGAAATAAAATAACTAAAGGAATACTAAAACTCAAAATGGCAAATAACTTGCCTCAGGGATCCTAGAACCTAATTGATCATCTTGAGCTGCTCAACCGTCTTAAAAGAAGGAGATACAAGGGAAAACTTATTAATATCATCATGCCCTTATACTCCCCAGTTAGGGGGTATTAATAAGCTTACAAGAGCTATCTTAAGTTAATTAATCCATTATTACTACTAAATTAATATAAGTGAATTCACATCATTACTCTCCCTCTCACAACTACCTTGTTCCCAAGATTAAACTTCTTAACCGACCCAATGGATTGGAGGCATCGGCTATCCATTTAACCACCACCTTTGAAGAGGTTCAAATTTAGGCACTAAAACATTGACATCACCAGAGAAAATGTTGGCTACTAGGCATTTGAGGAAATCTTGGAGTTCCTCTCTCTTTAATCATGAATGTGACAGTCGTCCATATGTCGCACGTCTGTTCGAACTATCTTGTGTGTTGGTTATGTAATTTCAATCGTTTGCACTTCCAATTCTTCTACCATCTCTTCAAACATACTTGTGATGCTGTGGTCAACATATTGTAAAGGTTTAATTTTTAAGAATAGGTTCAACGACTTCAAGATGATGTTCAATGATCTCCAGAGAAAAGCCAAAATGTCGAAGAATATTTTGCTTAAAAGATTTCGACAGTTTATTCAAAGAAATCCCATGGTCTCAACACAATGTTGAACCATCCATATATACTACAACAATTGTGACATACTGCACATTAGAACTTATCAACCTTGGTATGCCCTTTATATGGGCTATCCCTGTCGAAATAAGATGTCTATTTTAATCATTGAACTCTCTTAGGCTGGCCAAAATGTTGAAGAATGTTTTGCTTGAAAGAATTCAACTGTTTGTTCAAAGACATCGACTAGTATTAACATAATGCTAGACCATCTAGATATACTGCGACAATTGTAAAATTATGCACATTATAACTGATTAACCTTGGCAAACCCTTCGTGCAAACTATCCCCATTGAAATGAGATGCCTTTTTTGTTTATTTCACAATTCAATAAAGAACTAGTCAAAGTAGATAGATCATGCAGTGGATCTGGGACAACAAATTGTCATGATTTTCAACAACTAGTAAAATCTTCACATAATCCGCAACAATAGAAGATTTTTACCAAATGATGGGGTTTAGCAAAATTGTGCTATTGTTGAGGCTAAGTGGCTACTTGGATCAAGAAACAATGGATGGCCACTGAGCTTGGCAGGTATCAGTGGTGAAATTGATGGAATTGCAGGTTGTCGGTTTTTGGAAGATGTGGTGAACAAATGGAGAGCCAACTGCTCTGAGAGAGGGTGGCTAGAGAAACAAGTGGGAACGATAATGATCCATCAACTACATAGGAAGAGATGGCACAGGGATTGGTGGAGATGTGGATTACGATGTTAATAAGAGTTTCTTGCGGAACCTATGATGGAAATAAGGAATGGCTGATATTATGACATATTGTACGTGCGATTTAAACAAAGATGGGGTTTGAATCTTGCGACGATCTGGATGGGGGAATTATCTTGAGCGTTGGAGAAAGACCGAAGCTGTTGGTTAAGCTTCTTGGGAGCATATGATAGTATGATACAAGTGGTATAAGAGAGTAAGAAATGGAGTTCCTCTCTCTTTAACCATGAATGCGGCAGTCGTCTGTATGCCACACATCTGTTTGATCAATCTTGTGCGTTGGTTGTGCTACTTCAATTGTTTTCACTTTCAATTCTTCTACCATCTCTTCAAACGCACTTGCGATGTTGTGGTCAACATCTTGTAAATGTTGATTTTTAAGAACAGGTTTAGTGGCTTCAAGATGATGTTCAATGATCTCCAGAGAAGAGTTAAAATGTCAAAGAATATGATACGGGCGAGGGAAATTCAACCCCCCTTGTGGGACCCGTTAAACCTATCAATTGTATATGTGAGAAGAGGAATTAAGGAAGGAGTTAATTAGAAGATGTTTCATAATTAAAAAGATCAGATTTGAGGGCTAATTCATGTTTGAAACTAAAAGATGTGGTCATGAATCTCATGGCGATAAAATGATAAAAGATCTTGTTATTTGATGAGCATCCCATAATAGCCAAATGTTATGTATATATAATTTATGGAGACTACCAACTCTTCTATGATTCTGAATATTTGATTTCAAACATCAAATCATACTGCACAATCATCTTCAGTATATGGTCATATTGTAATTTTGGTTATTATTTTAGGTACATCAATAATATGGATGCTACTTCAATGGAACGCTCATCAACAGCCACAGACTTCAAAACGGAAGTGATTTGTACAGAAAGCCTGCTGAGTGGCCTTTTCAGGTAGTGATTCTCTTCAGTATTTCATCACTGCTTAGACATCAGTAATAATGTTCTCTGATCATGTTAAGGCTTCGTTTGGGACGGCTTTTTTACTGCTTCTTAAAGCAGGTTTCGAGTACAAAAATTTAAATTTTTGTATTAAAAAGCTGTTTTAAGAAGCAACAAGAAAGTCGTCTCAAACGAAGGTTAAGTCTCATTCTCTTTTGGTAAAACCTGTAGCGTTCTGATAAAGGCTATTTGAATGAAAATTCTTTCCATTAGGTGGTGGGTTTTCTTAGATGCTTTTTTTTTTATATATAGAAAAGACCTGTATTTCCAGTTTTATTTCAGTAACTTTCCGATAAATTGTGATGTCAATTGTTTTAGTTATTATAAAGCTATATCAAGATAATTTTATTATTGTTTTATTTTTTAAATCAGCAACTATAATTCTATTTGTATATGTATATATATTTGTGATTTTTTAGAATTTTATAGAAATTTATGTGACGGGTAGTTGCTTTTTATTATTAGAGCTGTTGATGTATGATAACTTTAAGAATGTGATTATTTGATTTAAAAAAAAAAACATATATTTATAATGTCACAACAACTTTCAAAAAAAATATTTTTTACATAAAAGTTTCACAACCACCTTTACAAAACAAAATGATGCAGCCATCCAAAATAAATCATAAAATTATTTTTGACAAGTTTATGAAAAAATTTGAAATAGGCTGGATTCATTCTCAATATCTTATAAGAATTTTTAGCAATTAAATTAGCTAACACTACTCATTTAAATAAATATTAGCCTTTTTTATAAAAATAATGATGTCAAGCATAGATTTTATGTAAATAAAATTTGAATTTAGAATTTTAATAATATCTTTTAAATTTTTATTAATTAAATTAGTTGGCGTCGCCATTTTTGATGGCTTTGTTTTGTGTGTCGGTTTGTTAGCCGACCATTGTAAGGTTCATAACCTTTTCGGATGCTGCACAGTTTCAATATTTTTTTTAGCGGATTTATATGTGACAATATAAATTAAATATCTAAATTTATTATTTAAGTAAAAATAGCACATCTTTTATGTAAATAGTTGAATTTCAACAAACTCTCAATAAAGAGATGAAATTGCGATCTGAATCTCAACAAATGATGAACAGACCAAAAAAAAAAAAGAAGTGAAATGATGGGACTCTCTACTTCCTAAATGAAATGACGGATTCAAATGGAGAGAAAAATTTTGAAGGTTATCTGTATAAATAATAAAGTTAAATTCTTAATGATATAATTTAGTACCATGTATTTAAATGCCTCTTTTTTTGTTTTTTGAGGATTGGAATTCTTTAATGATGCCAACAAATTATAAAATTTATGATATTATGAGTTTAGAAAAAAAGTGTTTATTTAAGATCAAATTTTTTAGCTTTATAATTTATTATTTAGCATCCATTATTTAAGAAAAAAATTATGACATTAAAAAAAATATTTTGCTCTTTTTATCATTGTGAGGAGCTTATATAAGCATGTTGGGAGGTAAAACCACATGGTGAAACAAACAAGAAAAGAAAATAGTAGAAATGAACACAACGATTTAAGGCGGAAAAATCCAAAAATAAGAAAATAATCACACCACATCAAAAAATTCACTATGAAAATATGAGAGAAATTGTGCTGATCTCATAAATTTGAGAGAAATTTACTATAAAAATTTAAGAAAAATTGTATAGGTTAGAGTTAGCCCCATTTATTCGAGAAAAATATTATGCTAGGGTTAGAGGAGCCCGATCAGATTAGTTCAGAAGCCATAATCATCTGGAGAACCAATAGTTATTCAAAAGCCATCTATTTTCATAAGACAGCTAGTTCAAACTTGGCTAATTTATTTATCAAAATAATAATACTAATAATTTATCACAATATGTTGGTCAACGTACTAGGGGACTGAAATGACCTGCATTACACTTTCTTTTTGGATTGGAATTTTTCTTGGTGAATAAGTTGGCCAACAAAAGGATTTCTATTCATATAAAGTATTAGGCATGCCGTTGCATTTAACCTAATCAAACATAAGACATTGTACTACCAAAAAGATTCTTTGCTTTGAAAGTATATCTATTTGGCTTATTCTGCTTTGGTCGATGGATTTGCAGTTCAAATTTTCAATTATTTTAAGTTACTAGTTATAGTACTGCATTGCACACCATTTGGATTATAAAAATCTCTGAGCTGAAGCCCAATGAGATGATGACATATACAACAATAATAATAATATCAAGCTTTTATCTCACTACGTAGGATCTTTTACATGAATCATTTTTCTCCATCGTGTCCTATTAAAAATCAAATTATCGTTTAAATCTAATAAAGAAGGATCATTTCTAATATTTTCTAACCAAGTCTTTTTAGGTCTACCTCTACCTTTCTGAATATAAGTCAAATCTAATACCTCTATTTTCCTAACTGGATCATCGAAAGACCACCATTTTATGTGATCAAACCATCTAAGACGACTCTCTCTGATCTTACCTTCCACTTGCGCTACTCCAACCTTTTCACCATGAGATGATGACATATGAAAGGCAAAAATTATCACTTTAATACAACATGTTTGGAGCAGTTGCTTGGCTTTTTGACTGGCTTTTGTTTTATGTTTGATGGACTAAGTCAATCATGCTGACATTTTCCTCCTTTCTTAAGCTTTAGTATAGCTATGGTCTGAAGTTTCTGAAATATTCCACTAATTGAATACAAACAATTGATTGAATGTGGAAATTATCAGTGGAATTACTCAGATATAGCACGATGATCTTTATTTTTATTTCATTTTAATCTTAGTTTTGTTATTCTTTCAGGATTTGATGGTCTCTTGGAGCAGAAGAAGCATTAAAACAGCATTTTTGCCTGCTTGCAGATGTTTGAGGAAGCAGTCCATCTACAGTAATGGCAGAAATTTTCTTGCTTTGTTTTCCATTTTATAACAAACAAATCAGATTTCATCAAAGTTTGATTTAAAGGTTAAAGTTCTCCAATGAAATGAACATTTGCAGCAACAAAAAATTTAAAAAAAAATTCATGAGAATGGTTAAGTTGCTTTGCACTTGTATGACCATTTGGAAATCTCAAAGAAAATATGTTCAGACTTATGTTTTAAATCCCATATTATTTGCAGAAATCAATGCGCATTTTTTAGAAATTGATTTAATTTACTCAAATCAGATTGATTTCCTAAAACAAAACTGGTTGATTTACAGTTAAAAATGAAGCTTAAACCAAATTGAATAAAAGCAACTCATACAACTTGTCTTTCCTTAGCATAGAAAAGCAAAACAATAGAACTGTTCATAAAAAAGAACTTGTTGTGATCCACATCTAATATAAATTCATGCTTCAAACCACATTTGATTTTACTAAAAGATCTCATTAACTCAACTCTATCATAAATCAAAACATTTTCTTTAGCTTAGGCTTTGGCCAACCCATCAAACATCATTCATTATGGTTAGAAACAATATGCAAACGGCTCACTTTTCTCCTAATGAAGCATTGCATGCAGGAAAGTATAGCTGCATTAGTTGCAGAACATACTACCTTTGCCGGAAGAAAAATTCCATTATTCTGCAGCTTTATCATCAGAATCATTTACTTCATTTTGAATGACTGGAACGGTTAGTAGGTCTGAGCTGCTTGTGGCTCCATTTGCGTTCTTCTTCACAATGGAACTCAGACGACGATCTTCTGATTCATGACCTTCACTCGCATCAAACTTGTTATTTTGATCTTCAAATGGGATCAGGCCAGACCTTCCAAGATGAGAAATCTGTGAGTTAGGCACAGAATGATTGAATTTTGAACCATTTTGGATTGCCGGCGAATTATTATCTGAAACATTATTCTTCTCAAGTAGCCTTGTTGTTGTTAAGTTGGTGAGTTTCAGCTCATTGTGGTTGCTAACTTGAGTTGAATGACTCCCATTTATAGACGGATCAGCATTGGCATCAGTCATATTTTCACCAAAAGAAGCATTAGAAGCATTGTCAATAGGATCCACATAACCCAAAGTTTCATTGGCTATGTTCACAGTATCATCAGCCGATCCATCAACTGCGATCCCCAAATCATTTTCTTTTGAATCTTCAATCTCCATTGCGGAATCATGAGCGACGGCGCTAGAAGCATCATCTCTCTTATAATTCTCTTCTCTTGCCTCCTGAGCACTGTCCTCAACCTCCTTGTTATCAAACAATCCATCTTCTTCCGCTTGACCATCTTTCTCTTCTTCACTAAAGAACTCCTCTTCTTGCTCATTTTCTCCCTCATCACCTCTATCCTGATCCAGTTCGTCGATCATATTGCCGCCGTCTCTTTTAACTTCATCATCCTTAGCTTCTTCCAGTTTCATGTCTTGATCTTGCTCCCCTTCTTCTTGCTCTTCTTCATTTTCATCGTCCTTGGCTCGAGTACCACTAATCAAATCACTTTGTTTGACAATTGGGAGACCCTTCCTGCCGAAATCAAAGAGATCAGATTGTTTAGAGTTCATTGTTGTGGTAATCTTTGAGATCTTATCCTCAAAGGCTTTCTTCTTGTCATGGGAGTGCTTAACCTGGTAAAGCAACCAGGTGCAGATAGCCAGCAAAAGGCAAATCTGCAAAACAAGCTTCAATCTGAATCCCCCTTTGGACCTCTGGTTTCTACTGCCAGACTGCCTCATCATGAAAGATCCTCTTCAATAGAAGAACATTAATCCAGCACAGAAGTAACAAAACCTTCCCTTTCAACAAAATGCAGCACTCATCTGCTTCAAAAAAAGAAATAGAAACCAGGCCCGAAAATTAAGAGCACAGCCATTGCAACAAAGCAAAACACAAAACATGAATACTTCACTGAACCACTCCAAAATAAGCAACTCAAAAAGGCTACCCAACTGCTATTTTTAGCACTAATCAAAAGGAATCCACAAAACGCAAACCCTAAATTCTCGTAACCAGCATAAAAATCCTATTTTTCTCTTTCTGAAACAAACTCATCAATCAGATCTCAAACAGAACCAGCAGCCAGCCAAACTGAAATCGAAGTAAAGGGAGCATCTTTCTTCCAAAACCCTCCAACTTTAAGAGATCTAAGAGGAGGAAAGAAGTGTTTACGTACCTGGAGCTTTTCTCAAGTCGGCAACTGGGACGAAACGACAGAAAGAGGGGTGTAAACTTTATAATGAAGAGGATTTCTGGACTAAAGAGTATAGTTCACTGCTCTTCCTTTTTCAAGTCATGAATTTTTTGCTGGTTTTGGCCTCTGATGGTTTGATCTCTAAGGCTCTTCTGTCCGTCAGTTTCCGTTCGTGCTGTATGCTGCGCTCCAGCGGCAAATTGCTTGCTTTGGCTTCACCTGTGAGTCAATTACGTCTATAAAAGCCATTTTGGATTTGAGTTTTAATATACTCGTCAAGAAAATCTAAGAAGACCATTTTGGCTGAATAAATCTATAGAAGCTTGCACCTTAGCAAAATTATAAATATTGGGTAGATGTGTTATTATAAGAGTTTTTAGGTATTTGCCCCCATAAAAGTTTTAGAATACTATGAATTTTAGGCAATTGTCAAATACAAAGAGAAATAGTAAAGAGAATCCAAAAATATCCTTACAACCAAAATTTGTTCTGGGGGCGTTGCCCCCGAAAACCCTCGCAAGGGTGTTGCCCGTTGATCCCACAACCTGACCGGGCAGGTCGAACCCTGTCAAGGGGTGCTGCTCCCTTAGACTCTTGACATATCCGCAAAGTGTACAATGATCAAGGATATGAACAAATAGGAGTCGAGTCAAATTCAAGGCAACTCCAATATACATTTTGTAGAAATTGAATGATCCATCAATTACATCATTTTGATTATTTTTTGCAAACAAATCATCCATAATTCAACCTAATTCTGTTTAAGAATAATTTTCATTATATAAGATGTTGATGATATTTTTAAAATATATTATATATTCAAGTACAAAGAATCATTAGTCACTAAAATTATATATATATATATAATCTATGCACTTTTATTTATAGGTTTGTCCCCCTGAAAATTAAGTTTGGTTTCGTCCCTGTGTGAATTATAATTGAAAACTTTAGGATGTTAACTAAATGTTTAAATATTGTGCTTATGATAAAATTGAGGAGCTGGATAAGATGAATCCAACCACAAATTTTGATGTGGTTAAGGCACTTAAATGCTAGATAAATAATCTATAATCAAATATCAATATGGATTGTTTGATGGGGCGTTTAGATTCTAAAAAAGCTATCAAAATGTACTTCTTAAAAAGTTATAAATACGATATCATTTTCTTTGTGACGGGAGTCCAAGAACTAAAAAACTTAAGAACTCTATTATATTTTATGATAATCACTATTGATAACCACACCATCACTTGATTTCAGCCATAGGCCATGATCGCTTGACTATTAACAATCAACTTCATTATTAGACTTCAATTTTTTATTTGTGAGTACCTTATTTCTATAATACCTACAACATAAATCATATAATTATTTTTAATTATGTATTGTCATTTTTTCAATTATATAAAAGAGTGAATTCTTGTGTGTGTATATATATATAATAATAAAATAAATATTTAAATTTTGATAGGCATTATTATTTTATAATTATTCTCATAAATTTTTGATCGAATATTATTTTTTCCATTCTTTACCCTCCAGTTCTAAGTAATAATAATGAGCCAAACAAAATCATCAATGCCCCTTCCATTTCTCTGGATATTGAATATTAATATAATAAAAAAATATTTTATCAGAGACAAAAAGAACAGAGTGGATCTTTTATGATGAGCCCGGCCCAATAAACATTTATATTTTTAGTTGTATAAAATGGGCTTGAATAAGATTCTTTCATTGGAATTTAAAGCCCAAGTTTTGCTTTTTCACAATGAAGTAGTGCTAACAAATTAGCTTTCTTTAGAGCTTAATTTTGGTCAAATTGATTAAAATGCTACTCTCAAAAAATTATAAATAGATCATTATTCTTTACATGAAAGGTACTAAAATTTTATATTTTATATAACTTAGAGATCTGAAAAATTTTAGAACTCTACCAAACGTTTGATGTTGATGATAACAGTCTACCATCACAGTCATCTACTTGTCATCTCTAGATCCCTATCGCCGAGCTATCAACATCCCACCCAGTCATAATCCATTCGCTATCATTACTGAGAAAGGAATGTCTTTTCATCGAAATAGTTGAAGATGTCTAAGTTATGATAAAAGTCTCATACTAATATATGTTCAACTAATCAGATCTAATAACTATTTTTTTTTTATTTTTTTTTTTAATTTTTTTTCAGATCTAATAACTACATGGCAATATAGTTTCTCCATGATAGGGTTCCTCGAGTCACATAACACCAAATTCACTAATAGAGTTCTTTAATGCATGACCATCACATGGACTTTAATTGAATAACAAGCATTATTGGAGAAGGTAATTGAGTTGGCTCGGATCTTTGAAGTTTCATAAAATTATATAAAAATATACGGTTAATTAAGGATTTGATCTAAGGGCTCATTTGGTTGTTTGTAGAAGAAAAATATGTAAAAAATATTATTTTATTTTTAATGTAAAAAATAAAATATTTTTATTTCGCCTTTATTAAATAACAAATAATAAGTCTAAATATTTCAGTTTCTATCATTAAATAATTAGTTGGCTTCATCTTACAATTCTTACCATATTTTAAGTGCTTGTTGATAAAGTCCAACCCCAAAAAAACCATTTATAATTTTAGCTTTATTTAATATTCCTTAGTCTAATCATTGAACAATTCCTCTCCCATTTTATTATTTAATAATCAATTAAAAAAAATTACAATGTAAACCTTGCTTGCCATTTTACATATGGATGAGTTCTTCTTTTTCGTTTTACAGAAAATTAAAAAAGAAAAACTAAGTCAGAAGTTATTATTGCAAATTTACCTTAGGAGTATTAGACAAATGATTGAGAGAGAAAATATCTATATAATAATTGCTAGTCAACCTTTAATATTAAAAATTCATAAATTATGTAAATAATATAAAAATTTATATGTAAACACTTAAAAATTCTTATATATATTTGTAAATCCTATATTTATATATTGGAATTAGATATTTCAATATTGAAATATAAAATGCTATATTCAAATATAAAAATTTACAAAATATTTTTAATTTTATTTTTAAATGAAATGAGCTGGAACAGGTCAGTGCTCACCAACCAAAACTATAGAGTTTGATAGGCCTAACCAAAGACAAAAATTATATAATAATAATAATACTAAATTATTAATAATTAGTCAATTTATATATCTCAAAATTGCTAAAAATTAAAAAATTTGACATTTTTGTATTTTGCTTTTATAAAATTGGAATAAATGTAATCGGTCTTTTTCTTTATTTGAGATAAGAATAAAAACTACAATATATTAAAGAATTCATGTCATAATTATTTGACAAATTTTAGATTGATTGTAGATTGCCTAACCCAATTCTTCATTTTTCTCATCTATGGATTGGGACCTGGCAATAGCAGTGTTAATGCCACTTTTTTAATGGATAAATTATTCTATGAGGGGCTGGAAGCAAAACGTCGTCCGGAGATCAACTAGAATGTGTCACGCCACCTCAGTGGTACCGAGCAGTACCGAGCCACGATATCGAGCAAAGGGGCGACGTGACACATTCTGAATGGTCTTCAGACGACGTTCAACATCCACACAGAATAATTAATCCTTCCAATTAGCTCAATAGGAGAGTAGATATATTTGATCAGACATATGTTTAGGAACGTTTGGATAGGCCTAAAAAGTTTTGGTTAAAAAGTATTAGAAATGACTTTTATTATATTTAAACCAGACTTTGACTTTTAATATGACACAATAGAGAAAAAAGAATTCATGCACCCGTAGTTAGATAATGACTTGATATTATTGTTGTTATTATTATTGATATAAAAATCAAAATGATTTCCAGACTTTATATATGAATAATGAAGGGTCAAATTATCCTCAAATATGTATGAGTTTTGTTTACCGTTCCTTGATTCTTTAAATAGAGACCTAAATAATCTCACGAAATGACTAACTTGATCCCTATTTAATAAGTTAGGAGATCAAATTAATACCTTTATATAGTTAGAGGCTATTTTGATCCTTCATAAATAATGAAAGATCAATTCTATTATTTTTTCATTTTTAATTTGAGACAAAACAGCCAAATATTAGCTGCAATCCATTGGGACACCTAACGCCACTTTACAGCCGTTTCCCTAACAAAATCATTAAAGACCAAACAATGAATAAAAGTTGTCTATATTGTATTTAAAACTTATTAAATTTATTTCAGAATAAATATGCTAGCTTTCAAGTCCTTAAACTTTGCTACATTAATAATTGTGTGTGCTAGACATTCTTGGCGGTAAATGAAGTTTAATATCTTAGTTTTGTACAAAAATTTAATACACTGAATATAAAAAGATTTGGTAGTTGAACTTATTGTAATTGGGCGATGATGGTCGAAGAAGTATAGTAGTCAAGCAATCATGATCTAAGGACCGTAATTGGGTGATGGTAGTCAAAGGATCATAGTCAGGTGATGATGGTTGGAGGATCGTAGTCGAGTAATAGTGATTGGATGATATTTGTTGGGTGGTCAGATGGTGACAATCTAAATACATAGAGTTAGAATATGATGGTCGAATGATGATGATCGAGCATTACTCATATGGTGCTTTGTGATTCCTGAAATCTCTAAGTACTATGGAATTTCAAGTCAAGCCTAAGGTCCAAACTCTCCATCACTTGGAGGGAGAGGGTTATTTATTTTGAGAGGGATGCTCTATAAATATAGTCAAAATTTAGAATCACAATACGTTCTTTTAGCTTTTAAGTGTCTTAACGATGCTTGAATTAAATGATTTTGGATTCATTACGTTCATCTCATTAGGATGTTTCATTTGATTACAAAATTTGTGAATTTATAAATGATTTGTCCTAATGTTCTAAAGTTTTCAATTACCCTTCAAATGCTTAATTTGGACTCATTTGGAGTTGGATCGGATCACTTTAAGTATTGATAGATTGGTCTTGTCGGAAGTTCGATTTGATTATAAATTTGTCTAAATCACATTTATGCTAGTACAAGTGGTCCTAAATTTAATTTTAAAATTTTTATATTTAAATATAGGAGGACATTTGTGCGTGATAAAATTATATTTTTATATTATTTAGAAACTAAACCTATCCATAAATATATATAAAACTACAGGTGTTAAATATATAAGTTTATGCAAATTTTATATTATGCATGCAAATCCCCCCATAATAAATTCATAGACATTATTTTTTAAAATAATTATGATATAAATTAAATAAGAATATTCTAACTAAGTTTTTTTATTTAAATAAATAGTATTGGAAGCGTAATTGATTTTTAAAGAATTAGAAATGAATTCATTAAATTTAAAATAATTATTTTTAAATATAATTTCCATTATCCAAATTACGTGGTACCCGGACGTCCTTCCTGGATTGACAGTGTGGCACCACATGCCTCGGCCCACCTATTATTCATGATTATGACCGACAGTAAATTAATTAAATTTTCAGGAAAATATTTTATTGTAAATGTTTTAAATTCATTTATATTTAAAATATTCACATTTAATTAATTAATTAATTAATTAATTTTTACTCAAAATAATTAGCCAAAAATACAAAATCTCTATCTTTCAAGTGCAAATATATATCTGATTAAATTTAACAAAATTCAAATTTCTTAATTACTCGTTTAAATAATAACAACATATTAACAAAAACAGCAAATCTTTTATTCTCCTTCCCTCCCAGAATTTCAGCCACTAACACCCAAAATTCTTTGCATTTGCCGCAGCCAAAAAAACCCAACCCACGACACTAGTCACTATATACAAAAACAAAACAAAACAAAAATGCTTATCAAAAATCAAAGCCACCCAAAACGGCACCCGCATCACAAGAAGCTGCCATCGACCTCGCCGCCGGCGACCTGCAGTTGAAGCTCCTTCCGAAGCTTTTGAGAGAAGAGTTGACAAGCATCAACGCTCAGATCGATGGCCGCCGCAAGAGCAACAAACGCTGCCGCATCCTCTGTACATCCCACATGCTGAACACCAACCTCCACCACAGGCCGGCTTTCCGGCCGCCCCTCACCTCCCACCGTCGACGACATCACAAACCCGCGATAACCAAGCTCTCCACTACCCCCCGGGCTTCCTGCGCTTCCGCCGGTGAGGTCTATGCTGAAGCGGCCTCCCCTGTAGGTGTTAATGGAAGACTCGGCGAGAACGACGCCGTCGGGAAGGAGCTCGAAGCGGTAGCCGAGAGCGTCGCTTCCGCGCTCGCGCCAGGCCTCGAGACGGCCCCATGGCTTCCATGTCAGATCTTCCGGGCAAAGGATGAGCCATGCGCCGGGATTGCTACGGCTAACGCGGTCGCTGTTAGGGGAGGCGACGAAAGGGGTCACCATTGATGCCATGGCTACCGGAGAGCCGGAGAGGTCGTGGACTGTTACGGACCATCCTTTCCTTTCTTTCCCCGGTTTTTCGCTCTCTGATCCGAACCTCTTCAGCCAGCTTTTTCGGTTACCGATCTCGGTGGAAAATGATCTGAATACCAAAGCAAAAGCATCAAATCCGAATTAGTAAATTAAGCTAGCTACATTTATGGCAACAAATTAAAGTAGATTATATGTGATTGGAACCTGGATCTGAGGCTTCGATCGGAACTTGTATTTCGGCAGGAGAATCTGCAGGTAAAGACTGGTTGACGAAGAAAACCCTGGATCTGAAAAACCTGCGGACTGCACTCCGGCTCACCCCCAAACTCAAAAACAAACCTCGGATCAGGCTCCGATTTCACAACAAGATGTAACTGCGCCAATGCCCCTTTGCTGGATTTCCCAACTCCGACCCATCCAGAATAAAACACCACAGCCCTATCATCCACCCTAAGATCAATCGGAATCTTTACCTTCCCTAACAGCCGGCCTGAGCTCACCCCACAGGTGGATCCGCGCCGGCCAGTATAGATCGCCAGCTTCAGCTTCGACTTGAAAACTTGCCGCTCGATCTCAGCAGGACTGAGGTGGAATGCGGCTGCGAGGCCGGAATCAGTTGCTGAATCTTGAAGCGGTAAGGGGGCTATCTGATCGGAGAGATTTCGAAGCGTGATTTTGCAGAAGCAAGGAGTTGAAGAAGGGTGAACCCCGGAGCCGGCGGGGCCGGAGGCGACGGGGAGCTTGAGGGCGAGGTTGCCGACCAGGACCCGAACGAAGCGGCAGGGGTCCATTGACTGGAGGGGAAAATATGAATCGATCGGAGGAGGAGAGAGAGAGAGTTGGAGGAGTCAGGTGGGATTCGTTGGGAGGGGTTTTAAGAGGGAGAAATGTTTGTCCGATGAACAGGCTGGCAGTAGTGGAGTGGAGGAAGACGGCATTGGGAAGCTTACAGTAACGGTTCCACGACTGCACAGCTTCTTCCTGTACTGCTACACTTTATTTATTAGCTGTCACTCTTTCGATTTTTGCATTGACAGTGCAAACCAGCCTGGGTCAAAATTAAGTTGACTACGTTCGAATCAAGCTAACTCAATCTACTTAGATTTAACTCAAGAGATATTCGCTCATTATGATCTAAGAATTTGTTACAATAAATGAATACGACTTATCAGCCTTTTTTTCGGGGACAGTTAGTGGATTTGAGCCAAGATTAGATGAGAGGAATTTCTTCCGTCGACCGCTCGGCTGTAGACCCAATCTCTTATCGACTAATTTTAACAAGTATAATATATGAAGAAAAAAATCTATATATACATTTGTATTTATTTTTTCAAAAATTATATACACTACTCAGGGCAGAGTAGTTGTGTTGTGAAATTCCATAAGTAAAATAACCTAGACTCTTAAACATCGAGGCATCTTTTGATGTAAATGTTAGAAATCCACTCATCCACTTGAGCATCCTCATCTCTGCAACAATTAACTTAATAATATGCTTCTCTTTTAATGGTTAATATTCTGCATCATAAAGCATTGCAGGTCTCACCAAAATCTTATATAATTTTCCCTTAAGTTTGAGGGGGACTTTTCTATCACACAACAAGCCCGATACATTCCTCCACTTCAACCATCCAACTTTAATTCTATTGATAACATCCTTATCTATTTCACCATCAATATATCAAAGATATAAAAAAATTGTACTTTTATTTATGACATCATCACCCAAAGTCACAATCCCTCAACTAGGTCTATTACTACTAAAATTACACTCCATATATTAAGTTTTAGATCAACTCATGTCTCATGCGAAAACCTTTAGACTCTAAGGTTGACCTCCATAATTCAAGTTTAACGTCAACTCCCTCTCTAGTCTTATCAACAAGAAGAATATCATCATCAAAAAGCATACACCATGGTACATTATCTTGCAAATGTCTAATGAGAACATCCATGACTAAAGCAAAAAGATATTAATCTCAATTACAAATATACACACCAAATCTCTCTCTAGACTCATAAATAAGAAGAATATCATCAACAAAATTCATACACCAAGCAAAAATATATTACCTGCAAACTTTGGAAAAGGACGGAACGGAGGCCGTGAACTTTGGCAACGGACGGAACGGAGGCGGTGAACTTTAATGTTGTCAGCGTTCGAGGCAGGTCTAAGACGCTAGTATAGCGAACTGAAATGAAGAGGGAAAAAATGAGAAAAAAATGACAGAGCTGTCGAAATAGGGCTCTCTCCATCGAACTTTCAGGAGGATTTTCCGCCAGTAACATTACCTGTGGATAATACACATGAATTTTTTTTGTCGAGTTTAAGTGAGCCGGTGGAATTTCCGTCTGTGATTACGTCGGTAATTTCTTGTGAACATTACGCTGAAAAATAAAATACACAGAAGAAAAAAAATGTTGGAATATACACCGACATCATCACGTTCGAATTTATGCCGATAATTTCACCGTAAAGTTTCTGGTGTATATTCTATCGGTTACTCCACCTCTTTTTCCAACAGATGTATGTCCGCCGGAAAGTTTGACGGTAATGACATGTTTTCATGTAGTGTATAATGTATCTGAACTGAGCTCTTCCTATTCACAAATGAATCATCCTACATGTCTACAAATCTTTTTTAAACTAAATACATAAGTAGAATGAGAGTATATGTGGATCATCAGCCATTATACATAAATTTCCTCTCTTTTTTTTTGGGTCTTGCACAATACTGTGCTAAGCATGCATTTAGTGCTTTATAGGGTGCTACATAATAAAACACCTACACAAAATATCTTTATCCTAGTGCACATGATTACATCCAAACATTATACTAGCCCAACATTCTAAGAAAAAAAAAAACCTTAGTATGTTATAGTCTTAGGATGCCTATGAATGCATCTATCATAGCATTAAATGTGTTAAGTTTCTTTTGATGATCTTCTAATCAAGTATTTAATATATACATTTGAATAATAAGAATGCTTAATTTTATTAAGTAAGATTATTTCAATTTAATTTACTAATGACCTGAATAATCATTAACATAATTTGTAACTTACGAGTTTTATCATTAAGGGTTAAAAAGTACCCAAGAGTGGTGAGATCAATCCACTCTATGGCATGCTATGTCATCCTAAGGTCCTAAAATTTATGTTAAAAATATTTTGGTGTTACATATAATAAAGAAAGTATGATAATCTATTTATAATTCTTAGATACTATGTCTGGAGATGTTAAAGATTTTAAAAGAACATAAGGATAGTCATCTCAATCTTTAAATATTAAGTTTAGATGGATTAGAGGTTTTAAAAAACCACAATAATAAATTATGTTATTTTTGGATCTTATGTTCCACTAACTTAAAGACACTGCATGCTCCAAAGTGAGATACCATATATATCAAATTGTTTTAAGAGGATCAATAAGAACTCTAATGCGCCAAGCACCCTAAGCCACATCATTTAGAAGGATCTAAAGAATGTCTGAAAGGCTGCTAATAAGGATTTACTAAGAAAAATTAGAATCCACTATTAGAGGGTCATTAGATAACCTAATTAGAATGCCTATTAGGTGATATGGGATTGGCTAGAATAATTTAGGGATTGGTTTTAACATCTCCTAAGGTCTTGCAAAGTGGCTAAAATTAAATATAAGAAGACCACTACACAACTCATGATTATCTAAGAGTCCTTAAGCTATTTTTTTTTAAATTGCATGCAAGAAATGCATTACAATTATTGACTTTCAATTTTTAAGGGAAATGATAAATTATCACCCTAATTATGCTCTGGCCACATGATGTTGTTCTTTCAATATTTTAATATTTGTGACAACCTTTCCTTCATGCTTTGTAGTGATGTGTATGTTATAGTAATTATTGTGTTACTATCCAAACATTTTATTATTATTATTTTTTGGCCCGAAAATTACTTTATATTTTGTTGAGTAATTCAATCCCATAAGATTATAGAAATGAAAGTCTTAATAAGTCAAAACTTATCAAGAATTCTCAATCAAAATTATAAATTTTTTTGTTGAATCTTTATGGGCTGAATTTGATAATTTTTTTGTGCTGTAAATGAGATAACATACATCAAAAATAGTGTGCAATTAATATTGATGGTAGCAGAAAACAAAACACTATATATTATAATAATTTATATTAGATCGGGCATGAGCTTTGTTGGAAGAGCAACAAGTCAAAGCAATTTGGAAACATGATGAAATTCACTCAAAATTAATATTATTATTTAAATCAAATTAACTTAAAATGATTCCTTTTTTTTTTTCGACTACCTCACACGGCGAATTCAACAAGATAAAAAATACATATTACGAGTAGGAAATGTTCCAAACCAAATTGGTTGGTCCAAATCTTCAATTTCGTCGCATGTCGCTTTTAGTCGCATGTGAGAAAGGAGGTGGCGATAATGGTTATGATATGGTGCACAAGTTGAGTTTCGATATGATCAAAAAATATTCTGACATGAATATAATCAGCTTGAATTTGACCTGTCTGTTAAATGGGACAAGAACCCTACTCAAAACGCAAACCTAACTCAACACAGTATGTAAACTAATAACACGGTTCAACCCAGACCTGATCAAATTTTCTTCGAATCACTTGCGTTAAGCCAAACCAGACCCAACCATTATCCAGGTTGACCCAACCTTATTTGTTGTTTGGGCTTGCTCAAGTCAGATATTTGTGTCAAGTCGAATATTGAAGCCCCTATCAATATTGATCGATGGTGTTGGCACACGTACATTACTTAGCCGAAACTTTAACTACAATTATATGGAGTCATTAGGACCTCCATTTTTGTGAGTCATTTGTGGTAAATGACTCACAAGAAGAATTCACCAATAGAAGTTTAGGATTTATTGAGGACATTTTAGATTCATATCAGGAAGGTTTTAAACTAAGGAAAATAATAGAAAATCAAGTTTTCATACAATAAAGACCTTCTAATTGCTTGAACTGCACGCATAGGATATGATTTATATTTTATTTTAATCATCATTAGCATCGTTAATTAGGTGCTAATTGTTTGATGAGCAGCTCTTCAATTTTTTATTTTTCATAACCATTGAATTTTACAATAATTTTATTTTTTTAATTAACATTTTTGGTACTTATCATATTTTTATTTTGCTTTTTCGAATTACTGAAAATTTAAATTCTCTATAGAATGTTTGAGTGTTGAATTGATGCATGAAGTGCACTATATGTTATCCGTTTTGATGCATATTTAAACTTTATTTGACATAATTTTTTCGTTGCTTTCTAAAATAATTTTCTAGTACAAAAATTTTTTTATTAGACAATCGTTTTAAAAAGCAATAAGAAAGCTGTCCCAAACGAAACCTTAATGAAGACTCGATAAAAAATGAGCACCTCATCTTCTAGAAGTACTCATCACCAAGGAGCCTTGACTCAACTCGACCAGGCAATCCGTGAGTGTAATGAGTAATGACCCTTGCTACAGTAATGAGTTCACCTATATAGATTTGAATAATGCTTGGTAAGATTTACACTCCTATTACATCTTTGTTAAATCTTTGTTAATCGTCTGAAGTAATTTCATGTTAAAATTTGATCATAGAAAGTTACAAATTTACTGAAACATTTAGAGACTGGTTTGAACCATAATCTGTTAGACAGAAGATGCAGAAGTCATTTCTTAGATTAGTTTAAGGTACAAAGTAGGTGATGATACTGTGAGGCAGAGTTTACAGCTTCAGCCATGTATGCCCTATATTTGGTTAATAGTTCTGAGGAGAAGTGTTATAGATTCTTAAGAGGTTTGAGAGATAGTAGAAGGCAGACTTTGATTTCGTTCTACATTTGTGATTTTATAAAGCTCATTGAGAGGGCTAGATTGATATAGAATGACTGGTGGTGACTCAACAGCGTTGGGATAAGAGCAGGAAGATGTTTAGTGTAGAGCCATCCAAAAGTGGAAAAAGAAGCTGATTTGTGACTAGTAATAGACACCATAATTAAGCAATCTTAGGGTCGTTGGACTTTTCTACTTGAGTCGCTCGATTGGATTATAAGAATGCTAAATTTGAAGATCGTTCGGTCATCCGATTAATGTCTTGAATGCCCCAATTATAATTTAGACATTTGATTTGGGCTCATTTAGACTCGGTTCAGACTATTTTTTATGTCATTGGATTTGGAT